TATAAAATATCAAAATAAAATAAACCCTATATTTAAAAATATCAAAACTATTGTTTTGTATCAAAAGTGTATCTAGGCTAATTTCTTCTTAATTTTAATGGATTTTCTAACGTATTAACTTTTTTTTTCTTCGCAAAATCTTTTATAGTTATTAATGCACTATTGTATTAACTTAATTATTTAACGGATTGTTCGTTGCACCTAATAAACCCTTAACTTTAACGAACTAATATAAAAGTACTTTAACCGTTTAAACTAACAAAAATCTGTTTAGTCAAAAAAAATCATTTAGTGCAATAACGATGGATTAAGCTTTTACCTAATTTGTTGAATACAATGGATTTTTTTTAGAGTGAAATTATCTTTCGAATATTTCTATTCATTTCTATATTTAACATACTTAGTCCAACAGAAAGCAGTGTTTGAGAACTACACTTTAAAAAATGTCCCGCTAAAGAGTCTAATTTTAAATGTCTAAACAGAACATTAGATTATAAAAAAAAGTTGTAGAAAATTACCCCCAAACTCGCTGTAGTAAAAAAGTAGTAGTAGTAGTAGTAGTAGTAGTAGTATTAGTAGTAGTAGTAGTAGTAGTAGTAGTAGTAGCAGTAGTAGTAGTAGTAGTAGTAGTAGTAGTAGTAGTAGTAGTAGTAGTAGTAGTAGTAGTAGTAGTAGTAGTAGTAGTAGTAGTAGTAGTAGTAGTAGTTTATTTGTTATTACAAAAGTAAAAATAAAATGACAAAATGCAATCGTAGATTGTCAGAATACAGTTAGTTTTTGTGAAGCTCATGATGCAACTTCTATTTAGGAATGCTGCGAGCTGTAGAAACATTGGAGTCTATCGACGCTCGCTTTGAAGCTATTGACAGTCGAAAAATTGAATGCTTTATCTAGTAAGACTTTCCATGCATTGACAATGCTATATTTTTCACGGTGAAGTCTCACTCTGTGATTTGCTTTTGGTGGAACTGTGTTAAGAGTTGTTTCCATAAGGAAGCATCATGAGACTAGAAAGTGTGTTTTAGGATGCTTAGCATTTGATTTACTTTACATGAAGTAATGATGGATTAGGTTTCTACTTTTAGATCATTAGTAATTTGTATTCCCAAGTCACGTTCAGAGGTGAATTTTTCCAATGTAGTTTGAGTTGTTATTTAACAAGGGTCTGATTTCTTCATTGAGTATTCAAAGTGAGTTAACCTTTATTGGCCAAAGTGACGATACATTTTCATTTTCTTACATGACCTTACATTTCTTCGCATTTAGCTTCATGACCGAAGACTTGGTCCAATTAACAAATTGGTCAATATTTGATTGGAATTGAAGTTGAGCAGCAAGTGATTAGACAATACTCATAATTTTAGTGTCATCCTGGTTGATCTTACAACTGTTTTTTTTTGCTTATTACATCTAGTAATGTTCAAAAAAAAAAAAAAAAAAAATACATGCGGAGCCCCACTTGCGGATCCCCATTTGTCATCAAGGATAATTCGTTGAGACCTGTTGAGTAAAAAAGTTTTATCCAAATGAGAAGATTCCGCTCTATTTCATACATTTTTAGTTTAATCAGGTAAATTTGCTAAAGTGGTATAAAATAAGCTAATCACAAAAATTTTTATATTGTCGTACATCATTTATTTCCAGAATTAACTAAATTTAAAATGGGTACCGTCAATAATGAATTTGAAAAAATATTTAATTTATTCCAAATCAATACATTAAACTTAGACAATGAATCCAATCCGGATACAAATTATTTTGATGAAATTAATTCCCCAGAATTTAGAAGCTCCTACTTTTATCCTAATAAAGTTAGCAGTTTTTTAAAAAACGACAATAAAAGTGATTATCTTAATGTAGTCTACGTAAATTTACGGAGTTTAAAAAAAAACTTTGAAAATTTTTTAAATTTTATTTTTGAAACGGAAAATTCTTTCGACTTAGTTTGTTTAACTGAGACCTGGTGTTTGTAAGCAGATTTTGAAAATAACTCAAACCTCCATCTTCCAGATTTTGATCCAATAATTTTAGAACGAAATACTAATAAACGAGGTGGAGGAGTTTTATTTTTTGTTAAAAATAATCTTGTTTATAATATTAGAAGCGAAATGTGCGTTTCTGACGAAAACAGCGAGATTTTAACAATAGAACTTATCAATAAGCGTTCAAAAAATATGCTCATAAGCTGTTGCTACAGGCCACCTGCTGGAAGAACCGAAAACCTTTGTAACTTTATACTAAAAAATATAATAATGAGAAGCAATCTTGAAAAGAAAAAGTAGTACTTGATAGGAAATTTTAACATAAACCTATTCAAATATTATGAAAATCCAATTACTAGAAAATTTTTTAACGATTTGTTCGAAACTGGAACAATACCATTAATTAATCGAATGACCAGAATCACAAACCATTCATCATCATTAATTGACAACAACTTTACTTCTGACTTTCTTAATAAGTCGCTTAAAAAGGGTATAATAAAAACAGATCTTTCCGATCATTTTCCTATATTTTTCTCATTAGAATTAAACGTAAAAAAAGAAAACCATGTAAAAATCTCACTAAAAAAACGGCTTTTCAATATTAATACTTTGAATTCCTTTAGAGAGCAGTTATCTCTTATTAACTGGGACTACATCAATTTTAATAATGATATTACCATTATCTATGATCAATTTTTCAAAACTTTTTATGCAGTTTATGATTCAAATTTACGTGAAATAGTCTTAAAAGCCAAAGAGATATCATCTCCTTTGATGAAAAACACAAACAAAATTACTTAAATTATAAAAACTTTTTTGAAAAGCTTTGTGAAAATTCAAAAAAAAATTACAACTTAAACTTGTAGATAAATACAAACATAACTCAAAAAGGGTCTGGCAAGTCGGGAAAGAGGTGACTGGAAAACATAAAACAAATACAAATTTACTGCCAGATATAATAAAAATTGAAAACAAGTGATTTAATGATCCAAACAAAATTGCATTCGAATTAAACAAGTTTTTTACAACAATCGGAACAAAATTTTGCAATAATATTCCATCCATTAAAGAAAAAGCTATTAATGAATATGAAACTCTATTAAGCTCAACTCTAAATAATACTGAGTTGATGAACTTTTGATGAATTTGAAGTTGCTTTCAAATCATTAAAAACGAAATAAAGCAACTGGATACGATGAAATTAACACAAATATTGTAATAGACTCCTACGATATTATAAAAAATATTATTTTTAAAATTTTTAGAGTGTCGATCACACAAGGCCTTATGTGATGGAAAGGACCCGGGTCCTTTCCAGATAAACTGAAAATAGCAAAAATAACTCCAATCTTCAAGAACGGCGATCGTACAAATATAACAAATTATTGCCCTATCTCGGTTCTTCCAGTTTTTTTTAAAAATATTAGAAAAAATAATGTTTAATCGAGTCTACTCTTTTCTTATTGAAAATAAAATACTGCATGAAAACCAATTTGGCATTAAAAAAAATAATTCAACCGGACATGCCGTTCTTCAATTTACGCGCAACATTGCAGATTCATTCAAAGACTCTCGTTTTACATTAGGGGTTTTTATTGACTTGTCCAAAGCATTTGACACCGTGAATCACCAAATCCTATTTAAAAAACTTTTGTCTTATGGTATTAAAGATAAAACTCTGCTTTGGTTCAAAAGTTACATTACAAACCGTAAACAATTTGTCTTCAATAAAGATTCCACATCTCGTGCATTTATGAATATATCATGTGGAGTTCCGCAAGGATCCATACTTGGTCCACTCTTTTTTTTAATATACATAAACGATCTTCATAAATCTTCAAACCTAGCAACAATAAACTTTGCAGATGACACAAATTTGTTTTTGTCTCATGAAAATATTAATATAGTATTTAATGATATAACAAATGAGTTAAAAAAAGTTTCTGTTTGGTTTAAACAAAATAGATTGTCCCTCAATATTGAAAAAACGAAATGGACACTCTTTTATCCGACTTCTAAAAAACAAAAACTCCCGCATATCATGTCAGAACTTTTAATCGACAATATTAATTTAAAAAGGGAAAAGGTTACAAAGTTTCTTGGAATATATATTGAAGAAAATTTGTCCTGGAGGTATCACATCGATGCTACTTCCACAAAAATTGCAAGATGCATCGGAATTCTTAATAAAGCAAGAAATATATTATGTAAACATCAGTTAACACAATTATATTATTCATATATTCATTGTCATATAAACTATGCAAGTAGTATATGGGGAAGCACCCATAAGACAAGGCTTAAATCTCTTTACCTTCGTCAGAAACACGCAGTTCGCGTAATAAATTTTGAAAATCGGTTTTCTCACACAAAACAACTTTTTAAAGAAATGAATGTTTTGAATGTGTACCAACTAAATGTTTTTAATATTTTGTGCTTTATGTTTAAATAAAGAGAAAATCTGTCACCAACTGTATTTAAAAATGTTTATAATTTGAAACCGAAAAACAAATATAATCTTTGCACTAATAACAATCTTATGGCCCCCTTTTGCTATCAAAAAAAAACCCAGTTTTTTGTTTCTTATCGAGGACCTTATCTCTGGAACAAAAAAGTTTTACCAAATTTTGATTTTTCTATTAAAATGGCTTATGCTTCAATTAAACAGAAACTTAAAAAGATTATCCTTATATTAAAAAATATTCTCTATTTTTATCTATTTTTGTATGTTGTGTTATTTTAGACTAATAATTACTAAGTTTTTTTTATAAAAAGATATATTATTTTATTCCGAACAGCTTATTTTTAATTAAAGTTATATTGAAAAAAGTGTAAATGTATTATATTTTTATAGGGCTTCATGAAAAGACCCTCATGATCTTCTAGAAGTCCTGCCGTTGTTGCTGCCAAGTGTAAATATATATTCTCTTATGGCTATTGTAATTATATATATTAACATATAATTGTAACTATATTATCTGGTTATTGTAACCATTTTTAAACGGCAAAACAAATCTAAATCTGAAAAAAAAAAAAAAGTTTATAAAGCATTTGCTGATGTAGCACTTTGCCAAATGCTTTGGCAAAATCCAGGAATATAACGTCAACTGGTAGTTTTTTAGCCATACTTCGAGTCAAGATGTCCATTGTTTCAAGGAGATTCGTAATGCATGATTTTTTCTCTGAAAAGCCATGTTGACTATTTGAAAGAAGATTGCTTGATTTTGGATGCTGCATAACTGCTTTCTTAACTAGTTTCTCCATTATTTTACATGGAGTTGAGGTGAGATATATTGTTCTGTAGTTTGATGGTTCGATTTTGGAGTCCTTTTTAATTAAAGGCGTTACATTAATTTTGGACCATAAACTTGGAACTTTACCATTATCAAATGGTTTTTGAAAGATGAGAGTAAGTGGAGCAAACATCAAAGTAAAACAAGCATGTAAAACCCAAGGACTGTCATTGTCGACACCAAGTAATCTGGATATATCATGCGATGAGAGTTCCATTAGAGTAGCCTAAGTGTCGAATGCTATGCTGTTGAGGATTATGTTAGTTCTATGATCAAAGTGAGGCAGGTTGTCATTGGATAGCTCTTTGCTGAAAACTTGTTATAAATTGATTGTTAAGTGAGCTGGCTATTTTAGAATAACAAAAGAATAAAAAGTTCAAAAAGTTATCGAATAAAAGAACTTTTTTTAATCCACTGTAATTCAGAGTGGTAGCCCTCTTAACAAATACTTTTACAAGCTTGGTAACTATAAAAAAATAAAAGAAAAACTCAATAAGATTGACTGGTCATTTAATTTTATTGATTTAAACGTCGAGCCATGTTATTAACTATGGCTGAACAAATACAATGAATGGTGTCTTCAATTAATCCTTCGTATACTAAAAAAAAAAATCAAAAAAACAATTCCAAAAAAGAAGTCACCATGGGTGACAAAAAAACTATTATCTTTGATTCGTCTTTAAAAATCACTCTAGGCTTGTAACGTCAGTTCAAAATGGAAAATCACATTCCTGGTCCAGTAACATAGAGAAACTAGAAAGTTTTTCAAAAAGTTGTTCTCTACTGAAAACCTTCAAATTTGTTCTCGCCAATGATAAACGCAACCCTAGAACACTATTTTCATACATAAATAGTAAACAAATCAGATCTCAACTATGTGAATCACCATTTCAAGTGAAATCATTAGCTTTCATAATATTACTATGGCTGAACAAATACAATGAAAGGTTTTTGTGGAACTGCTAAAGCTTGCAAAATTTTAGTTATGTCTTTCAAAAGGTATGTATGAAAAAAGAAAAATATACTATTAAAAGTGAATATGTTCCGAATTCTAATTTGACAGTCACAATTATTTTTTAATAGAGAAGAAAAAGAACTAATTGACTAATTAAAAATGACAAGTACACTTTATTATGGATTGACCCCAAAAACAGAATGACAACTTGCATATCAATTTGCATATGCTATTGCCTCCAATAGAAACAATGTAGGCTACTTTTTTGAGAATATAAAAAGTTTGTTAGACCGGTACAATTTTGGTCCAGAGCAAGTTAGGAATGTAAATAGTCAGGTGATACTACTGTCCATAAACCCATAAAAAAAATAGAAGTTTGCAAAGGTACCGTGCAAGTTTTAAAACTGTCTTTAGGAGAGCATGAGCAGGTAGTTACTGTGTGTGCAGTATTAAATGCTTTATGAAACCACTTACCTCTGTTTATGATTTTTTCACAAAAATTGGAAGCAATAATAGTATATGCTTGACTACCAGAAATAGAGGGAGCAGCACACCCTAGTTCTAATTATAATAAACCATGTGAGATGCAAGAAAAAACTTCTAGACTTATTGTTTTTGAGTTAATTGATTCACTTGCTAGGCTTGTGATTAAGAATCACAAGCCTAACAAGTGAATCAATTAATTTTTGTAAAGATTATAGAATTCATGTTTTGACTTTACTACCTCATATATCTTAAAAACAACAACATTTGAATTGTTTAATAATTAGGGCAATGATAATACATTATAGCAGATCACGTGATAAGTAAATGGTAGCTCATTTTTACTTATTAAACTCGTCGTGTAGACTAAAAACACCAAATCAATTTCAAATTTTATTATTTATATTTGATGATGGTTTTTTTTTTTTTTTTTTTTTTTTTTATTGGCAATACTTATACAATACTAACTCGATAAAAACTTTTATCGAGTTAATACTGTATAAGTATGCCCGATATAACTACCCGACGGGCATTTGTTTTTAAAAGTTACGATCTAAATGTATTTTAAATGTCTTTTAAACGTCTTTTAAACATTAATGTTTAAAAGACGTTTAAAAGACGTTTAAAACACATTTAGAACGTAACTTTTAAAAACAAATGCCCGTCGGGTATTGTATCCCAGTCAGCAAGCTTACATTGGCCCAATGTAAGTTTTAACATTGGCAAGTTTATTCCGTTGGGCCAACATTAAGCCAATGTTTTTTTTCGGCGTATTATTTTCAATTTTGCAAATCGGTTTTTTGCAAGTATCGTACAATATTGGGCCAACATTTAGCCAATGTTTTTTTTTTCGCAATTCTAAAAATCGGTTTTTTGCAATTATTGTACTACGTTGGGCCAATATTTGGCCAATGTAGTTTAGGCTTAATATTTTGCGATAAAAATCTGTTCTTACATTTATGCCGTAGCCAATGTAGTTGCGGATTAGTAGATATTTTTAAATTTGTTTCGTTAAAATTTTTAAAAATGGTATCGTTTGACAGAATAACAAAAGGTTTAGTTTTCATTTTTTAAAAAAATAATAAAAATAAGAAGCTATATTTATTAATCTTCTAAGAATCTTAAAAGCCTCCTTTTAAGAAATAAACTTCAAGAGATTCTCGTGACTTGATGTTTTGTTTTTTTAAATAATGAAATATTTGTTCACATTTAAATAATATCCTTAAAACATTTTTTACTACAATCTATATTATTAATGTAATAATAAAGGCAATAACTAAATTATTTTTGTGCAAGATCTTGAAGTTATTATTTTATTTTTATAACTCTATTGGCATTTCAAATGTTTGATTTATTTAATAATCTTTATTAAATAAATGAAACATTTCAAATGTTCGATTTATTTAATAAAGAAGACATTTTAAATGGCTTCTTTGTTAAATAAATCAAACAGTTGAATGGTTAATTATGAGGTTTAATTATATTTGTATTTAACAATTCTGGATATTTTTCATATTTAGTTTGCGTACAACAATTAACAACTTTAAGCTTATACATTAACTTTAGTTATAACTTAATTATTAATGATTTGATTTATAGATTAGTAAAGCTATACAAGATTAAATTTAGCAGAAGGCTAAACTACTGCTCTGGAGACAAAAAAGGAAGACAGCGAAAATGACCAGTCAAAATAAAGATTAAAGAGACAAAAAATTGTGTATATTTTGGTGTAGATGATTTATCCTCTACACCTCATTTTCCTATTATAAAACAAAAAATGTTATTAAACTTAAGGATTTACCTGTAACTCCAAACTCTTTACAGAAGTTCCATGTTTGCTCTGAGAAGTTGAATGAACAAATTTATTAAATGGTAAGTTTTTATATAAAAGTCTTTATGTCTGATGATTGAAAATCTTTATTTATAGCTTTAGCTTTTACAACTTTAAAATCTTTTTCATATATTACGGTCAAAAAGCCATAGTGTTAATAAACATTTTATTGTGTAATAATCAGTATATCAAAGCTTGGTCGGGAAGCGAGAGCGATCGCTCTCTAATACTGACCACAGAAAAACTGGCCAGGTTTTCTAGTCGATTTAACGTAACAAAAATTTTTTGTTCAATTTCAAAGTTGGTGTCACCAACTTTAAAATCTATTTGAATTCAACTGTTGAAAAAAACAACAGAGGATTCATATCAGTTTAAAGTTTTAACAGTTGCTGATGGTTCATTATTATTCATTATATAAACGTTTATTTAAATTTGTATAATAGACGAAGGTAATACAATATTTTTATAGATGATATTATTTTTAAAAACTGTATTATTAAAATTCAGAATTAAAATATGTAAAAAAAAAATATTTACAAACATTGGACAACTTTATATTTCAAATAACCAAACTTTTTATGAAAGTGAGGTTATTTGAAAAAAATATTTTTTTTTTAGGAAAAGATAAAATTATAAGATAAAACAAAGATTTTTTTTGGATAAATGAAACAATTTTTAGATAAAATAAAAATAAAATTTTTTACAGGAGAAATGTTTTTCATTCTCTTGTAAAATTTTAATTTTGTGACTTGTCACATTTTTAAAATACAACACTCAATTAAGCTATTATGTTTTTTTTGGAGCTACCCATTTAATTTTTCTGAAACTTATGTTTTTCTTAGTGTGCCTTCTTAGTCATCCTTAATAATAAGATCCATACTAATATCCGACTTAACTAATAGCTAAGTTTAATAAGTTTTGTCATTGAAAGCATGAACAATCTTAGCATTTCCATTACAGTAGATAGTAATTTTAAACATTTTGTAAAAACCATTGTTAAAAAAGGTCAGGGAAATTCATCTGATTTTTCAAAAAAGTCATTGATTTTTATATAAATAGTTGGCTACGAACCCTGAGGAGAAACATTGTTTTAATATGAATTTTTTTGTTGTACAGTACAATCTGTATTTTATAAGATACACAAAGCAATTCTCGTTAATGTGTAAGCTTAAACATTAACGAGAATTGTTTTGTGTCAGTGCCAGAAATTGAATGCACACCTGCAAATTTCATAATTCATAAAAGTAAATCCATTAGCAAGTATATATTTTTATCATTAAAAATTTGACCCTCTTTTTTTAGTTTTATCTGTTTTATTAGTGTTTGTTGTATTTACTTTCATAAATTCTAAATATAATATGTAATTAGTTGTATAGTTTCTTAATAATAAAAATTAACTTTAATGTTCAAGATAAAGTTGTATCCTTGAAAGATATGCTGGTATTATTGGCACAACGGGCAAGCATTGAATTGCAACTTGGTGAACTACAAAACACATCAAATTCAGTTATAAAAATTTGAGTAACAAAGGTATGCTAATTATTGTATTGCCTGAAAGAGTGTCATTGCCATTAAAAACAGTTAAGAATTCAAGTACTCTGGAAGAAAGAAGACAAAAAAATACTTTAGTAAATGGTAAATATTTTTTTATGATCTGTTTAGGCATTTTGTATGATATCTTAGTACAACTTATATACTTGAAATAAAATACTCTTTTAATATTTCTTGTAAATGACATTTTATATTATTTTAAGTCTAAACAAAAGTTACTTTAATTATTGCCAGGTTGTGCATTTTTGCAGGTCAATTATTTGGCACAAATTGGAGTTAAAGACAAAGGAGATTGTATATGTTATTTACTAAGAATTGTTTTTTAAAATGGCCTAGCTGTAAAGTTAAACTATACAGGGAGAGGACAAAAATTGGAATAGGAAAAATGTTGATTGCATATGTTGCTATTGGTAAGTGGTTTAGAAAAGTCTCAATTTTGCATTACAGAATTAATTTCAATTTGTTATGTTTCTTTGGTGCATAATTAAACAAACAATTTTTTTTTTTGTTGTAGAAACTGTTAAGTCAAATAAGCATGGCTTATGCAGACATGTGATAGAGATAGTGGGAGAAAAAATAATGATAGTGGGTACCAAATATCATAAGCTAAACACAATTCAATAACAAGTAGCTCAGCCAATATCGAAACTACTCTATAAATTTTATAGTAAATTTTTTATTTGAAACTCAATGTGTCAGTTTTTGGTTTAAGTTTGGTGTTTGCAATATGTATATTTAACCGAGAAATTATGTTAAATAAATAAATTTTTATACTTGTATCATACATTTTTTTTTTCTCTATAAATTTTTAATGTAGTGACGCAAATCTTGTTTGTAACAACGATCTTATGTTGCATAAAACGTTAGGCCGATATACGTTATACGATATTGGGCCAATGTTGTATACAACGTTAGGCCAATTTTGTATACAACGTTGGGTCAATGTTGTATACAACGTTGGGCCAATGTTGTATACAACGTTGGGCCAATGTTGTATACAACGTTGGGGTAATGTTGTATACAACGTTGGGCCATTGTTGTATACAACGTTGGGCCAATGTTGTATACAACGTTGGGCCAATGTTGTATACAACATTGGCCTAACGTTATATACAACGTTGGGCCAATGTTGGATAAATGTTGTATACAACATTGGGCCAATGTTGTACGCAACGTTGGGCAAATACCTAACCAATGATCAAACCTGCATTGGGCCAACATTGACTTTCAACGTTGGGCCAATGCATCATCATGCATTGGCCCAACGTTGGTCCAATGTAAGCTTGCTGTCTGGGATTGGGTATGTATTACAGACAACGAGATTTGTAGATATTAAAAGTTATTTAAGCTCCTCCTCTATTCCAATAGAGGAGGACTTAAATAACTTTATTTAAGCTCCTCCTCTATTGGCATAGAGGAGGAGCTCAATATCCAATCTTTTTCAAATACTTTTTAAACAATATTTATAGCAAGTACTTTAGATTAAATTTAATTTTATATCCCACACAGCAAGCTTACATTGGTCCATTGTAAATTTTAACATTGGCAAGTTTATTCCGTTGGGCCAACATTTAGCCAATGTTTTTTTTCGACGTATTATTTTCAATTCTGCAAATCGGTTTTTTGCAAATATCGTGCTATATTGGGCCAACATTTAGCCAATGTTTTTTCTTCGGCGTAATACTGTAATTCTAAAAATCGGTTTTTTGTAATTATTGTACTACTAGTACGTTGGGCCAACATTTGTTCAATGTAGTTTAGGCTTAATATTTTGCTATAAAAATCTGTTCTTACATTTATGCCGTAGCCAATGTAGTTGCGGATTAGTAGACCTTTTTAAAACATTTTTAAAAATTGTATCGTTTGACAGAATAAAAAAGGTTTTGATATTATCTTTCCATTTTTTTAAATTATATATATATAAAAAAAGAAGCTATATTTATGAATCTTCTAAGAATCTTAAAAGGTTCCTTATAAGAAATAAATTTCAAGAGAATCTCGCGACTTAATGTTTTTTTTTTTAATAATGAAATATTTGTTAACAGTTAAATAATATGCTTGAAGCATTTTTTACTACAATGTAAATTATTAATGTAATAATAAAGGTAATAATTAAATTATTTTTGTGTAAGATATTAAAGTTATATTTTTATACTTATTGCTGTATTAGCATTTCAAATGTTTGATTTATTTAATAATCTTTATTAAATAAATGTAACATTTCAAATGTTCGATTTATTTATTAAAGAAGACATTTTAAATTCTTCTTTATTTAATATATCAAACATTTGAAATGTCATACAGTATAAGTGTTAAAAAAATTTTTTTTTCATAATTTATTTATAATAGTTTAGATTATATAGCTAAGGTATCAGTAATATATATGTGGCATTGTTAGAAGCTGATATTTTACACTTTAAGTATGTTTTTTTTGTTTGATTTTTCTGTGTTTGAATGTGAAACCCCATCTACTAAAATATTAAAACAGTATACAAAAAGTGATGTTACTAGAATTTATATTCTACTTATGTAGAGCTTTCTAATATTCTCAGACATTTTGTTTTAAGACCAATGACTAGTCTATAATAATTTATTGAATTATGAGAATAAATCAGTAAATAATCACTAAAATCAATTGAAATAAAAAGACTCAATTTAAATCATTATTTTTATTTGTCTGATTTAAATCATAATTTAAATTGAAACAACCCTTTATATATTCCATCTTTTTGAGGCAGAGGGACATTATTCTTGGTTTTATAATTTTTAATTTAATATCTCTGGATATTTTTCATAATTAGTTTGCGTACAGCAGTTAACAACTTTAAGCTTATACATTATAACTTAATTATTAATAATTTGATTTATAGATTTTTATAGCAATACAAGGTTGAATTTATCAGAAGGCTAAACTTCTGCTCTGGAGACAAAAAAGGAAGACAGCGAAAACAACCAGCCAAAATAAAGATTAAAGAGACAAAAAATTGTGTATATCTTGGTGTAAATGATTTATCATCAATTTTTTATAATAAAACTAAAACTATTATTAAACTTTGGGATTTACCTGTAACTACAAACTCTTTACAGAAGTTCAATGTTTGCTCTGAGAAGTTGAATGAACAAAATTTGTTAAATGGTAAGTTTTTATATAAAAATCTTTATGTCTGATGATTGAAAATCTTTATTCATAGCTTTAACTTTAACAGTTTTTAAGACTTTTTCATATATTACGGTCAAAAAGTCAGAGTGTAATTAACATTTTATTTTATAATAATCAACATATCAAAGCTTACACCACTGGCTTGGTCGGAAAGCGGGAGCAATTGCTCTTGGATACTGACCACTAAAATTATATTTAGTTGCGAAAAACTGGCCAGGTTTGTTAGTCGTTTTGAGAACATTTATGTTTATGAACGTAACAAAAATTTTTTGTTAGATTTCAAAGTCAACTTTGAAATCCATTTGAAATCAACTGTTGAAAAAAACAACAGACTATTCATATCAGTTTAAAGTTTTAACAGTTGCTGGTGGTTCATTATTATTCATTATATAAACGTTTATTTAAATTTATCTAATAGACAAAGATAATACAATATTTTTTATAGATGATATTATTTTTAAAATTGTATTATTAAAATTCAGAACTAAAATATGTAAAAAAAAATTATATTCAAACATTGGACAAGGTCTGTACTGTACCTGGAAAATCTGGAAAATATGTTAATATTGGCCAAAGTGGTGGAAAACCTGGAAATATCAGGGAATTATTTTTTTTTTTAGATTTTAGAAAAGTCAGTAATTCTAGTTTAGAAGTTACTCATTTTGAATTGAACGCTGTATTATGAAAACGTGAAGATTCACATTTTTTTTAAAGTTGAGGTTATTTGAAAAGAATATTTTATTTTAGGAAAAGATAAATTATAAGATAAAATAAAGATTTATTTTTGATAAAAAAAATAATTTTTAGTTAAAATAAAAACAATTTTTTTTTTAAGAGAAATGTTTTTTACTCTACTGTAAAATTTTAATTTTGTGACTTGTCACATTTTCAAAATACATGCTCAATTAAGCTATTATGTTTTTTTTTTTTTGGTGCTACTAATTTATTTTTTCTGAAACATGTTTTTCTTAGTGTTCATTCTTAATCATCCTTAATAATAAGAACCATACTAACATGTATAATAAGATCTATACTAATATCCAACTTAAGTAATAGGTAAGTTTTATAAGTTTTGTCATTTAAAGCATGTATATTCTTAGCATTTCCATTACAGTAGATAGTAATTTTAAACATTTTGTAAAAACCATTGTTAAAAAAGGTCAGGGAAATTTATCTGATTTTTCAAAAAAGTCATTGATTTTTATATAAATAGTTGGCTACAAACCCTGTTGGAGAAACATTGTTTTAATATGAGTTTTTTTGTTTTACATGGCAATGTGTATCTCAAACATTAATAAGAATTGTTTTGTATCAGTCCCAGAAATTGAATGCACACCTGCAAATTTCATAATTCATAAAAATATTATGAATCCATTAGCAAGTATATATTTTGATCATTAAAAGTTTGGACCTCTGTCTTTAATTTTATCTGTTTTATTAGTGATTGTTGTATTTACTTTCATAAATTCTAAATATAATATATAATTAGTTGTATAGTTTCTTAATAATATAATTAACTTTATTGTTTCAAGATAAAGTTGTATCCTTGAAAGATATGCTGGTATTATTGGCACAATGGGCAAGCATTGAAGTGCAACTTTGTGAACTGCAAAATACATCAAATTCAGTTATAAAAATTTGAGTGTCAAAGGTATGCTAATCATTGTATTGCCTGAAAGAGTGTCATTGCCATTAAAAGCAGTGAAGAATTCAAGTACTCTGGAAGAAAAAAAACAAGAAAACGCTTCAGTAAATGGTAAACATTTTTTTATGATCTGTTTATTATGATATGTTTAGTATGATATGTAGTACAATTTATATACTTTAAATAAAATACTCTTTGAAGATTTTTTGTAAATGACATTTTACATTAATTTAAGTCTAAACAAAAGTTACTTTAATTACTGCCAGGCTGTGTATTTTTGCAGGTTAATTATATGTCACAAATTGGAGTTAAAGACGAAGGAGATTGTATATGTTATTTACTAAGAATAGTTTATTAAAACGGCCTAGCTGTAAAATTAAATTATGCAGGAAGAGGATAAAAAATTGGAACAGGAAAAATGTTGATTGCATTTGCTGCTATTAGTAAGTGGTTTAGAAAAGTTTATTTTTTCAGTTTCAATTTTGTATTTCAGAATTATTTTTAATTTGTTATGTTTCTTTGGTGCATAATTAAACTAACAACTATTTTTTTTTTGCAGAAACTGTGAAGTCAAATAAGCATGGCTTATGCAGACATGTGATAGAGATAGTGGAAGAAAAAATAATAATCGTGGGCACCTAATATCATCAGCTAAACAATATTCAATAACAAGTAGCTCAGTCAATATCGAAACTACTCTATAAATTTTATAATGAATTTTTTTATTTAAAACTCAATGTGTCAGTTTTTGGTATATGTTTTGTGTTTGCAATATGTATATTTAACCGAGAAATTATGTTTAATAAATAAATTTTTATACTTGTATAATACATTCTTTTTTTTCTCTATAATTTTTCAATGTAGCGATGCAAATCATCTTATTTGTAACAACGATCTAATGTTGCATAAAACGTTGGGTCAATATAAATATAATAATCGTATAACAAAAGATATTGGGCCAATTTTGTATACAACGTTGGGCCAATGTTGTATAAAACGTTGGGCCAATGTTGTTTACAATATTGGGCTAACGTTATATACAACGTTGTGCCAATATTGGGTAAACGTTGTATACAACGTAGGTCCAATGTTGTACACAACATTGGGCCAATACCTAACCAATGATCAAACCTGCATTGGGCCACCATCGACTTTCAACGTCGGGCCAATGCATCACCATGAATTGGCCCAACATTGTTCCAACGTAAGCTTGCTTTCTGGGATTTGATTAAATGTAAAAAAAATGTTACATTTGATTAAATGTATAAAAAAATGAAAAAGCGTATGTACTAATGTACTAAATGTGTGTATGTACTAATGTACTAAATGTGTGTTTTAACATGCAACGTTCAAATGTGTATTCGAATTAACGAATACTGTTCTTATTGTGCTCTAATTGTGTTCAACCTCTACTTATTCTTGTTACTAATTAAGATACTTTTACAAATAAAATCTATTGAAGATGTCAATATTTAATATATATATATATATATATATATATATATATATATATATATATATATATATATATATATATATATATATATATATATATAAGTTTTTTTTTCAACGTTGTATATATATATATATGTATATATATATACACACACACACATATATATATATATATATATATATATATATATATATATATATATATATATATATATATATATATATATATATTGATGGTAGCAGCGCAAAGAAATATAATATACATACTAATAACACCTTGTAAATACTTAAAGTCCATTTTTTTCTGTTTGCATTGTTTTAGATTAGGTCAAGTAAAACTTTTTTTAATTTGACATTAACCTGCGAAATTAAAATAAAATTAATCAATAAAAAAAAAAAAAAAAACAAAAAAAAAAACACTAAAAATACAATGAAATCACAAAACAATTAAATTAATGGAATACTCAAATCACAAATTTAACAAAATAATGAAATCACGGCAAAAAAATGTGATTAAGAAAATCTTATTTAAAATCGTGATAAAAAAATGTGATAAACGAAATCTTATTTCAAATCTTAAAAACCAAACATGAAGTCAACTGAGAGGTTAGAGGTATTAGAGAAACTTAGTTATTAGACAAACTAATCTAGACTAGTCTATACAAATATGATTTGATACTCTACGGAAATATTGAAATATTAAAAAAAAGAAAAAAGAAAAGTTAGTGAAAAAGCTGTTTACAAACAGCATTGTCCCTAAATTTCTTTCTTCTTTATAATAAATATTTTGCTGTTTTGATGTCAGTTTATGAGAAACCTTAGCTCTAATTTGAGCAACGCTGCTAGCAACTTTTAATAACTTTTTCTTTTTATAGGTGCTAACTTTTTTATAGATACTATAAATAAGAAAATAATAAATAATTAATAGAATTAAAATAATTATAATATTAATAATATTAATAAATAAAATAATAAGAAGAAACAAGAAATTTGTTTAAAAATTTGTCATCTATACAACTAAATGATTTAGATTATATTATGTGTAAAAAAGCTATTTGCAGAAAGTTGTCATGAATGGTACAATATTGACAAATCCAAGACAATTATTAATAATGGCAGAATAATAAAAGTTAATTCAAAAAGTCATAATTACATTTGTTGTTACTTTCATGTTTATATAATGACATGCATTATATAACCAGAATGCTTATGCGTTATATAACCAGAATATTTACTAAATTAAACTCCATCTGGCTACTCGCTCTGGATGAGCATTATATGCACACAACAAAACAAAATATATATATTTAAAAATGACTTTATTGTATACTTTAGCTCCTAAATTATTAAAGCCTACATTAACTAGTCTATTTTTTGCTTTTTTAACTAAAGCTTTAAATTTTAGTTCTGTTCTACTGTGCAAGCCTGCTTTATTTTATTTTAATAATGCAACAAAATATAAAAAAAAAAAACGGTAAATCGAAAATACCAACCTTTTTATGGAGTTATGTTAAGGCCTGCAATCCAGTTTATATAAGTTTTTACTTTACCTAAGGCTATCATAGCAATTCCTAACAAAAAGAATACAATAAATACTTGACATAAGATTTAATAAAGATTAAATGGTCTTTAATACTGCTCTTATAAATATATGTAATACTAATTTATATATTATAGGTTATAACACCAGTAGTTTCATCACATTTTAGTTTAAACTTATACTAACCAACTATTGTGCTTTATTTTAAGTTTTTACTACAAATTTCACACTTTGATTCGGACTATAGACAAAATCATTCTTTATTCAACTTGATGGAATTTCATTTATACAAATAACATTGTCTTTTGATTATACAAAACAAAACGTACTGGTCCACACAATAGTTTCATAATTATAATAAGACTTTTATTGTATATATACATATATATATATATATATATATATATATATATATATATATATATATATATACATATATGTATATATATATGTATATATATATATATATATATATATATATATATATATATATATATATATATATATATATATATATATATATATATATATATATGTATAAATCAATCAATATATTTTCACAAAAATAGATATCGTATACAATATAATATAAATTTACAATAATATTTTTGTATATATATAAACATCTTTAAAAGATTTAAATACTCATCTTTAAATTAAAGATGAATATCTAAATCATTTAATGATATTTATATATATATGTAAAATATACAAATTGTTATTATAATTATAAAGACTTTAATCCATCTTCATATAAAAATATATTCCAAATTCATATAAAATTTTTTTATGAATTTGCAGTATACACCGCTGTTTCGCGCCATGTAAATTTTAGGCATTACGTCACGAGTATAGCAAAAACAATTTTCGCATAAAAAGTATAAAAATTAAACAACTTTAGATTAATAGTTTTTATTTCTATAAACACTTTCATGTTCTTATAAAAAAAATATGAAAGATCTATCCTTCCTTGTTAAATAATTGTTTGCATTAAACGTAATAAAAACGTTGTTATAATATTGCTAACGATTTGGGAACCCTTTTATGCTTTTGGCGATTTTAACGAAAAACTTGTCTTGACCCAAATAAGATTTGATAACATAGTTACAGGTTTGATAGCTGAAATTTTGAGCACTTATCAATGAACGTCTACTCAATCTAATTTTTACTGCACGCAGTTAAATTTTTAACAAAAAGTTTAAAAATTAAAAAAAATTAAAAAAAAATTTAAATTTTTCACAAAAAGTTGGTTTTTTATTCATTTATGCTTTTCAAATTGTCACTTTGATCTGTGAAAAAAAATATTTTTGATACGTGCAGTAAATGATTACAATTTTAATCGTTTCTGCATATGAAAATCTAAAATTTATTTTCAGTACCTTATGCTATGTTATCGAATATGTCTTCAAACTTGGCATGTTTAGCAAATTTTCGGGAGGCTGAATTAGCGCGAGTTGGCATATGTGCGAACTGGCTTAAGCGCGAAGCGTTGCAAAAACTGGCATAAGTGCCAACTGGCATAAGTGCGAATTGGCATAAGTGCGCCAAACAAATTTGCAAACATTGGCATTAGTGCGAATTAGTATAAGTGCGAGCTGGCATAAGTGCGAAGCAGTTACAAAAACTGGCATAAGTGCAAACTGGCATAAGTGCAAATTGGCACAAGTGCGCCGAATAAAATTTCAAATATTGGCATAAGTGCAAGTTAGTATTTTGCACTTATGTCAATTTGCACTTATGCCAGTTTGCACTTATGCCAATGTTTTCAAATTTATTTGGCGCATTTATGCCAATTCGCAGTTACGCCAGTTCGCACTTATGCCAGTTTTTGTAACTGCTTTGCACTTATGCCAGTTCGCACTTATGTCAATTAGCACTTATGCCAGTGTTTGCTAATATGTTTGGCGCACTTATGCCAATTCGCACTTATGCCAGTTGGCACTTATGTCAGTTTTTGCAACGCTTCGCACTTATGCCAGTTCGCACATTTGCCAATACGCGCTTATGCCAGTTCGCGCTTACGCCATTCGCACTTATGCCAGTTCGCATAAGTGCGAATTATGAAATTCGCGCTTATTTAGTCGTCCCCAAATTTTTGCTAGTTTTTTGCGTAAGTTTTTATTTACGTTTTTAAAAGGATGATGTAAAACACTGAGCGTTTAAACGTTTTCACAGATACATAGATAATATTTTGCGATTTTGTTGACTGACTTGATTAATCTCTCTATCAACTCAAATTTGTTTCAAGTAAAGTTTTTTTGAATTAAAATTGGTCTAACAATGTTTATATTTTATCTTAAACAACAGAAGTATTTTTTTTTTCTTTATAATTTAGCTAAAAAGTAACATTAAAATATTGAAGCTCATCAAAGTTCGTTGTTCTGCGCGTTTAATAAAAAATTGAAGAAAGTTTTGATTATTTTGTGGAATATTATAAGATAAAAAAATTTTATTGGTGTTGTTAATCTTTTTACAGAACAAAATTATCTCTAATATTTCAATAGCTATAAAAGTTTTTGTGACACTCCTTTGGTGAATGTTTTCACACAAAAAACAAGAAGCCGTATGTCCATATTGAAACAGCCGTCTATACACAAGTTTTGTATTTTTATATAAAATATGTAAAATTTGTGTACATATTTTATGTTATACATATTTTTATAGTAATAAATTTTTATAATGTTTTCACTTTTATTACATTAATACTTTTATTAAAAGTTTTTAAAGAACTTTTTCACGCACAAATCTAGGGTAAAGCGGCCTAAATCTGGCCGCGTCCTTATTCTGGCC